GCCCTACGGCTCATGAGTAAATGGTGCAAACATGAAGAGGAGACTAGTGCAAGAAATGGCATACCTGTGTCAGATTTTACATTCTCACCCCGAGTGGTCTGATCCTCCACTTGCTTTAGATTAGGGGTTTTCTGTTAAAATGATCACACAATAGAGTTAGAACACAAATAGAGTAGAAAATGTCAGTCAGGGGTGCTCAATCTCATCTCTGGAGATACAGGCCAAATCCCAATTCACATACTATGCATCCTATACAGTATGTGAGAGAATCAGCAACATAGTATGCCAAATATTTAAAGATACCATACTATTTCTTCAGATTTTTACCTTCCTGGGTAGGTCTCAAGTAGCAGGATTGTGCCATTTTAAGTAAAACTCATTTTTAAAAATGATTAGAACATTAGAAAGGATTAATCCAAAACTTAACAAGGTAAAGCTAGTCTTCTACAAATACAAGTGACTTATAATACAGTTCTCTGAGGAATACACACTACCATTCAAATGTTAAGGCATAAGATTTTTTTAATGCTTTTGAAAGGAAGCCAAGGCTGTATTAATTTGATCAAAAATGCAGTAAGACAGTAATATTCTGAAATATTTTTACAATTTAATATAAATGTTCAAGATAGTTAAAAATAACAGCATTTATTTTAAATAAAAATGTTTTGCAACATTATAAATATCTTTACTTTTTTGATCCTTGATGATACATTTTTTTATTTATTTTTTTGTCCAAACAAAACCCCAAACTTTTGAACAGTAGTGTAACTGCTAAACCTGTCATTCTAAGATGTCCTACTTACACTTGCTACAGTGACATCTTCAATGCTGTTTTTAGGCACGAATTTGGGGCTTGATCTTCTAGAAGGTGAAAGGCACGTATCTGGACCTGTGCTCAAATCTTGGCTTACTTGTGTTGGTAAATGAGTATCTTCATCAGATATTTGAGTATCGTCTTCACTTGCATTAGTATTTTTACAGCAGTCTTTGTCCTCTAGCAAATCAATTTTTCGTTTGAAGTCTTTCTGAGTGAAGACTGGGCATTTGGAAAAGGGCAAATCTTCCTGCTTGGGGGATGTAGCAGCAGCGCTGTCCTGTGTGAGAAAATTTGAGTCTGTGCTTGCCGGGATGAGGTCCTGACTCAGTTTCTCTACACATACTACAGGGTGACGAATGAAGCTGCCATGCCTGGTGAAGAGAGGGGATGTCTGGGACTGGGAATCTGAGACAGATCTGAAGAGCTCAGGAGTGTTGCTTATGTCTGTCTGTTTATCTGAGGTCTTGTCCTAGGGTTAGGGTTAGAGTGCATGTTAAATATGCATGAGCATAAGGGAAACAAAGGGGAAGGTTAATACTTTTGTAATTAATCCTGTAAAGCCTGACCAAAAAATGTCCATGTCCAAATGTTTTTTTTTTTTTTTAAATGGAAGAGTTTGTTGAACCAAAATCTTAAAAGAGTTTGCATATGTTTGCATTTTTTTTGAGTATCATATTTGATACATCAGACTTTTACAGCTCATATAGTATCATAAAATTAGAATATGGAGCTCATACCCGAGAAGGAAAAAAAAACACCTTTCAGTAATGCTTGAAATGAAAATAATTGAGAGATATAGCAGACTACTTACATAAAATGCATATAAACCCCAGTTGTCACTCTATATCTCCATATCGTGTCTTAGTAAGATGATATTTAAATGATTAGCTTTATGATCAAAGCTCTGTAGTTTTTGTTGTGGGGGCAAAACATATCATGGAATGCAATACATTACAATGATGACTGAGAGATCAAAAGCCTGATGTTTCATATTTAATATTTACATTTTAATAGTTTAAGATGGTTTTAGAATTATAATAAAGGGCCTAATAAAGTTTAAACTGTCAATCAGACACCAGGAGGCATATAGAAGATTGTGTACAACAGATCAGCAACATTTTGAAAAATGTGCTTATGAAATATGATAAGGTTTTACAAGGTTACGAAGAAGACAATAACTTGATGATAAAATGTGAAGCCATTTCATAACAACTAACCTGAGTGGTAGCAGAAGGACCGGAGACCTGAGCTGGAGAACTCCTCGTTGAAAGATGCGAGGAGGTCGCCTGTGATAGATCAGGCATTTCTGGAAGCGTACTAGTCGTTTCCCTCTCATTCTCACTGTGTCTCTGATCTCGGCCGGGGTACGACAGTTTTCGTCTCAAGCGTGACATCGCATTTGTTACATTCTGCTGTGGATGATTTGTAGAGCTGGCTGCTTCATCTTGACCTTCCGATGCTTTTACAGGGCTTTCCTGAAGAAATACAGGCAGCATTTTTGATTAATACCATTACACTTATTGACTGGTCAAACTTATAAAAGAAATTTGTAAAATTTAAGGCTGGAATACACTACACAAGTTTTGCACAAATTTTAAGTCAACGCTACTTGATGAAAGACAGAACCAGTCTGAAGATTTTGGCCAGCCGGATTGGACAGATTTCACTGAAAATCACGTAGGGTATAATAGGCACAGATTCATGTTCGATATTTTGAGATGATGTTAGAATTTATATTGTTGTTTTTTCATGCATCTCACAACAGCGAGGCACACGTTTCTAAGTGAATTTGTTTGTTTGTTTCGGAATGACTTAAAGTCTAGTAATGTTGAAGTAATGACTTAAAGTCTAGTAATGTTGAAGTAATGACTTAAAGTCTAGTAATGACGCTCAGTTTTCTCCAGTTACAAATAACAAAAGTGAACGATGCCTAGTGTTTTAAAATCTGTTCCAATTTTAAACGTCATATAATGTATAACAGCCATTATGAGAATAAATGTTTCACCAACATTAAGACTTTCTGTTATGGCCTTTTGTATGTTGTTGTCTTCCTGCTGTAGTTTCTGGGAAGCATTGTTTGCTTCTTGAGCGCTAAGTCTCATGGCCAGGTCCAGCATCTCTTCTTCTGTCATGCCTGAAATCACAAGTAGAACAACACAAACAGGTCTGAATCAAATGCACACCTAATTTTTCAGGCAAAATTAATGATTTGTTGTGAAATTCTGAGTTACAGTACCTCGTAGTTGAGATTTATTCTCCCTTCGTTTCCACCGGGCTGTCCTAGAGGACCTTTTAAGTGAGCAATCTTCCTCCTGAGGACATAAAGGTCAAATTTCAAGTTGGTCTATCACTCCTTATAATTTACCATAAACTTTCATAGTTAAAGGGGTTTCTTTGGAAGATTCAATGGAGACCTTTTTTTTGCAGTTCCATTTGGTGATGTTATAGGAACAGAAATTAGCACAACATACCCAATACTGAATATCTAGAACTAACAGTGAAATGTATTAGAAACAATTATTACCATGGTAATTATTTAGGAAAAGTTGTTGCTGCGCTGTCCCATTTAGATAACTCTTAAACCACACAGAAACCTTTAAACGAAGCCAAACACATAGTATGTGGTTGTCCACTGTATACACAGTACCTCTTCATTTTCAGAATCAGATATGACCAGGGTCTCTTCATTGTGCTCCACTCTGCTGACTTTCGCCCTTCTTCCGCCTTCATCCGTTGTGCGCTTCCGGCGGGGCATCCTGCCGCGACCTCAACAACATTAATTCTCTCTGTGTCCACCTCTAAACACACTCTCTGAGACGCTTAACTGCTCATAAACTTTGACTGAACACGTTCAATGTTCATATTCGATAATACAACGTTAGTTCGGTCGGTCAAAGGCTCGAAAAACAAGGACTTCGATTCCAAGATATTTTCACAAGCTGTTGTCATGTCACGTCACGTGACATGAGGGACAAGGAAAGACGTTACGTCACAACCGACAGCGCGCGAACTGGCACGATTTTTTTTATTTGATGGGAAGTTCGAGTCATTTCCGCGAATCGGTTTGTTTCAAAGAACTGGTTCAAAAGCGATTCAATGATTCTTTTACGTCATTACAACATTTTTATTTACATTTATTAGGTTTTAAAGACAACGTTAATCCAAATAAGAATGCGATATTAACTACATAAAAATAAATTCTATTAAAATTAAATTGCACCACTAACATATAGGGTTTTAATAACAAAATAGGGTTTTAAAACTCCACTAAATTTGATGGATATAAAATTTGTTAAGTCATACGTAATATTAATTACTTTAATTACCTTACTGATAAACTAATGTAGTTTGATTTGTATGTTATCTATTTTAGTTTTAGTTACAGTTGTAGTAATGTTGTCATTTTATTCGTTTTTTATTATGTCTATATAGGTTTTTTTTTTTTTTTTTAAATTAAGGATGTCCATTGTAACTTCATGTGTCACAATTCAGTTTGAAGCCAAAATTCAGCTCACAAAATTCTGAATTAGAAAAAGTCATTTCGAAACTAAATTGAATTTACACTTACAACAAAATTGTTGTTCAGTGAGTTGTTAGCTCGGATTCAAACCCATTCCTGAACGGATTTTGTGAACCGGTTCACGGAAAGATTCGACTCCACAAAACGATTAATTCACGAACCAGACGTTGCTCTTAATCACGCCAAAAAGATAAAAGATTTGAGGTGCAAATAATTACATATTACTGTCAAATCATACGCGAAATTAAGTGTTCATTTGTGCATTAATAACACCAGTTGCCAGTTGGGAGATTAAACGTAATTTAAAAGAATGCCAACTTCACTTGCCAGGTTAGAAAGTAACGATTCCTTTAGCAAAATAAACCAACTCGCATAGCAACAAGACACATATAGATTCTCTTACGGGCCCTTACGTCATCTGCATTGCTTAGTGGTTGCGTAGACGTGTATAGAAATCATTTTGTGAAGCATGTAGGATAAATGGTTCACACATTTGTTTGTAAATAGAATAAAAATGGGTTACAGGATATATGAAGAGTAACGTCTGCGCACGCGCGATCCGCCTCCTGCAAACATCATGGCGCAGCAAGAGCCGAATGGAGATTTTCCATATTTACCGTCAGGGGCGGCCGGGGGTAAGAGATCGGCGACATTCATTCAGCATAAATGGTGTTACATTCGATGCATTATTTATAAGCAAAACATGACATTTATTCCGAGAATGTACAGTGCCTGAGAGTGTGAGGGAGTGTAAAGCATGGTAGCATAGCTCAAGCTCCTCAGTGCTCTTAGGACTGCTGCTATAGTGTCTAGGAAGAACAGCGTATCCAAGGTCGATGTAAGACATAGTCTGATTTTTTGCACCTAAATGCAAAGAAAGTCTATTTTAGGTTTGATTTGAGCGTTGCAAACTTTGCCTCAAAGCTGTTTTGTATGAGTGTCTTTTATATAACAATGAAATGCCGCTTTGTAGTTACTGTTTCTGATGCTGATCTTTCTTTCAGTGAACCGAATGATAAAGGAGCACAGTGACTTGTTCTCTGATTCTCAGTGTAAAGTGTGTAGCGCTGTCTTAATCTCAGAATCCCAGAAACTTGCACATTACCAGGTATGGATTCACACTCATATGGACAAAGTTTAAATGATCGCATCATTTCCTTTGTTCCTCAGCCAATACAGTACAAAACGGGGTTTTGGGGACTAGAAACTGATTTCAAGTATTTCAGAATAGCATACTAGCATGCTACTCATACTACTTCTGCAGTATGCTCTGTTTTTATGTATGCTTGCTTTGAATACCCAGACTAACATCTGCAGTATAGGCCTGCAACCCTTACGAAAATTAACCATGGTTTTACTTCAAATTAAACCAAAAAACCATGGTTACTATAGTTAAACCATAGTAACCACAAATTAACCATCGTCTTGCTACACTAGCCATAGTTGAACCATGGTATTTGTAGTAAAACTGTGGTTATACAAATGGTAATCAATGCGCCAAAAAACATGGTTACTACACTTTTACTATAATAAAACCATGGTTATTTTAACAGAGAAAAGTGCTATCAGAGAGTACTAACAGAGGCGAGCCACTTGAATTACAATAAATGAGAGAAATTTGTGTTCACAATATGACAGTTCTAGTAAACAAACTCTCATGACAGAATAAATAAATAGAAGATTTCCCAAGATGGTTGCCCAGTAAGCTGGCCTCCCTTAAAAGGGACAGTATTGGGTATTGTGGGTATTGGACAGGCCTGTGGGTACCAAGTTCAGTCTGTATCCCACAATGAAGTGTGCTCAACATGACCTTCCAGTTCCAGCATTTTGTTACATCACCCATGATTTTTAACATATGCTCATTATTTGATCAGAGACTGTCGAAATGTAAGACATTTTTACCCAAACGTTGATGAAACGTGCTACATGTATTTCTAGCATGATAACTGACTATTGGTAAATAAAGCTTGGAAAATGTTTCATGACAATTATCCCATGACAAAAGCACTTTACTAAATGTCATACCTTCTAATGTTAATTTTTTTGTCTCTTGTAGAGCAAAAAACATGAGAGCAAAGTACGCCGGTACATGAGCATTCATGGTAATGAGGAGCCCATCGCAAAACGGTTCAAGCCTTCAGGTGATGTAAGTCAGATAAATAGCCAGATGTGATGGAGACTTATTGAATATTGGATCACAGATGTGTTTGTGTCCTGCATTAATGGCTAGTGTTATGTTTTGCAGACCATTAATGTCGACGAAGGGGACAAATACAAAGCCTGCAATGTGTGCAACATGACATTCTCGTCCCCAGTAGTGGCACAGTCACATTACCAGGGCAAAGTTCACTCCAAGAACCTTCGCTTGAAGACCTTCGGTCAGCAGACTCCTGGTAAGAAGACTTGATTATCATGATATTTAGTGCTTAAAATCCTGGAATTATCAGAATGAGATGTACACTTGTAAAAACAAGTTAGACTTGCTCTGCGATCAGTTCTTTTGTACTGGGTATTTTCGTAATGCATTATACAGTATTCCTAGGTTTCATTTTTAATAACATCTAGGAATATTGTACGCCACAAATGCAAAGCAATTGCAGTTTAGACATTTTTATGAAAAAATAGGATGAAAATGTTAAATGATGATGATAATGCATATGCATTCCATTCTGTTTCACACTGAAAAGCTGACCTGCTGTGTTTTTGCTCCTATTCCAGCATTACCTCAGCCCAAAGCGCAGGTGAAGAAGGATGAAGGGCTACCTGAAGGTGGGCAGGGGCCAGCAAAGCAGGACCCCAACCGCTTCTGCTCCATCTGCCAGGCTTCCTTCAACAATCCCCTCATGGCTCAGCAGCACTACAATGGCAAGAAACATAAAAAACACCTGACTAAACAGAAGCTGATGGAGACCTATGGGCCGTCCTCTGCACCAGGTCAGAACATAGAAGGGGGTCTCGCATCCCATATGTAGAACTTGATGTGGGAATTACATCAGTAACACACAGCCAGAAGTTACCCTTTTATGTAGTAATATACTAATTTATATAAATTAGTATAATAATTTATGTAATTCATATACAAATGATTAAACCAATGACGTGCTTTAACAAAGGTGCACACTTCACAATTCTGAGAATGTTCAACTGCATTTGCAAACTTACATTGTAAGTATATTATTCTAAAAAATTCATCTAAATGAATTATGGTAATCAACTACAATTGATTTAACTTCAGATTTATCTTGAACAACTGAACAAGTTGCACAAAACATAAGGAATATCATTGACCATGTTTATATGCACCTCAAATTATGTTTAAAATCTATATTCGGGTTGCAGCTATATTTCAAATACAGTGTGTTTATGCATACAGTAAGGATTTCTGCGATGCAGATGGAATCACAGAATCCAGTCACAAATATGGGACTTGCAGTATAATGCAGAATGCCATGGAATTTGGCTAATTTTGGGTGAATAAATCACAAGTAGGCTATACAGTGAATTAAAACACAATATGTACTGGTGACTGTGAATATTAAAGTACAAAAACCATTTGAGGCAAGTGGCAACGTTGATCTGTCACGCAAAAATGTAACAGTATCGAAACTGTATTTATTGTGTAAATTTTGTGATAAAATGTACATACCAAAATTTTCATACCAAAAGCTTATTACGCATCATCAGGAAACAGACAAAAGAAATGGATCTTTTGAATGTTGGTTCATCAAAATCTGTTAAAATCACTTCATCACAGTATTGTCAGCACAGCCCTAGTTATAGCCAGCCACTTATGTATAACACTTACTCCATTTTAACCTTGAAACTGAGGATTTGTGGTCACTTTGTTGTTTTTGTCGCAATTTTTATCAGCCTCCACACTGAAGGGCTACCCATGTACTGTGTGCAATATTGAGCTGAACTCCGTGGAGCAGTACCAGGCCCACATCAGTGGTTCCAAACACAAGAACCAGTGAGTAACTCATGCTGCTTTAAGCAGCCTTCTCGAAAAGATTTCCTCATCTTATTGGTCGACTAATAACATATTCCCCTATTTGACAGCGGCAGACTCAAGAAAGGGCCAAATGCATTTCCCGGCCCCCCTGAGAACTACCAGCCCGATTTCCAGTATCCACCCAACCAGGAAGGACCAGAGGATGCGGGGGACTGGGACAGCTTCAACGAGGGCTATGAGTGAGAAGACGCTGTCAGACTCCGCTGCACTCTTCTCATTTGTGACAAGCTTCCTCTGTTTAGGCACAGGTCAATGTGTGTCTGCACTGTGCATCTCCTAAGGCCAGCTTTTCACCACACTACATCTCTTCCCGTCTATTCTTGTCGCTCTCACACACAGTTGAGGGACCACAATAAACTTCGGAAAAAATCGAAGGCAAGGAGGCAAAACTTAAAGAGTGCTGCTTTTTTCCAGTGTTAGGATTGTTTATTAGTGTTATGTTAAGTGTTTGTTTGGTTTACAAAAATTCATTTCCACAATCTCCACGTACAGATTCTGAAGGTGGTTTCGGGAGATGTTTTGTCTATATGTTTGATACTCTGACTCTTACTTGTTGCTTATTATTTTAAACTGCTCAAGCTCCATGTTTTGTTAAATGAATGTCTGTGAAGTTCAAAGCTGTTGAATTTGATAGTGTGCAACGTTTGGAAAGTTAGTTTTTTGGGGAGCTTAGAGTGCTTTATTTCTGATTTTCTGTCAATTTTGAAAGAAAAAAAAAAAGAATTTTTAGCCAATTTTAGTGATTTACTCTGTTTGTTCTAGGCTGGACATTAGTTGTCTTTCATTTCTCATGGCTCCTTTCCATTTCCACGTAAACGTAAATCTTTAAGTAGGAAGTCTACTGTAATTTCATACACTTACTAGAGATTTAAGTTGTTAAATTGGTGCTTCACTTCTAACATCCAAACTGAACTTGTCCTATTTATTAAAGCTGTCCAATCATAGGAAATTAGCACCAGATAATGAAGTTGATTTATTTATTTAGTTTATATTTAGGTACAAATTTCATCTTGACATTGTCACGACATAGATTCCTGCAGTATATTCTGGTGTAACTGTTTTACAAAGTCAAACTACTACTACAAGCTGATTAGTCGTAAATGTACTTGCAAGTTGAAAGCCTCTGTTCAGGATTAATGTGAAAACGCTCTAATTAGAAATTGAAAATGCAACAAGTTTTCGATGACTGTTGAGCATATGTGTATGGCTTGCATTGTTTATTTTTGCAATGTACATTGCAGATTGTTCTTGGTGCAAGAGACTGATGCTAATGCTAAGATGTAAAATCAGCAATAGTTCAATTAGTGTTTAGAACCATCATAATTAAGCTTACAAATTATTTAAGAGTCTGTTTATTAGGGGCCATTTTTTAAGTCATTGTGAAAGACTGAAGCGTGACCATTAATCTTTGTGTGTCCTCAAACCGAAAGGGCCTCGTTTTTTTCTTTCTCCCAAGTCTGTTATGATAGATGTATGTTGGGAATTGATACAGATTCATCAAAATCTGTCAATGAACCCAATAGCAGTCAGCAAAAGGACTACTGTAAGTACAGTGTTGCTTAGTTTGGCAGCCTGAAATGTTATTTTGACAAACGTTCTTGCAATGTTAAAGGCCTCTAAGCAGCACAACAGCAATTATGTGCTGGATTAAGGCCTTCAAACTTGGTAGCATATATGTTTTTGTTGTCATTTTGCTTTTATTGGTCAATTTACTTTTCAACAGACAGTGTGAGCCGAAAGAGATGTACGTTACTTTTCATCCAGTAAAATGTTTTGAGAGAAAAAAAAACTTTAGTATTTCAGACTGGTTTAATGAACATACATGCACTCACACAAATTGCTCTCATATCCACCTTATTTTTCAGTGCTGAAATGAGCTATTTATTAAGTGTAATTGATTGTTTTTGTACAGCTAAAAAAAGACAAAAAAAAAATGCCTGACACAGAAAGCCTAGCGTATTTCAGTTAGAATGGCGGTGCCACTTCTATGTTAAAAATAAGACTGGGCAGCTTTTATAATTCTACATTTCTTTTCAATATAGAAGTCCACATTTATATAAGCTTTTACCGTTTTCCATCTACTTATTGACCTTTTCAATAAAGTTGCCATAAGAAATGTTAGCTAACTTCTGCTAGAGCCTTATGGAAGAGTTATATTGCCCCACCTCACCCTGTTTTTGCTACTGTACCTTTAAGAGCTCTGTATATAAATGAACTCTCTTATGATTGGTCAAATCGCTGAATACTGAATTCTAGCCATTTTAAATGGTTTAATGTGTGTATAGTTATAACTTCTGAATGACCTGTTTGTTTGAACGAATTTTCTACCAAGTTTATATATAAAAAAGCAAATACTGATTGGATCATTATTGCAGTGATTAATGTTTCTGACATGCCATTTTTTTTTAACCCTAAATGATGCAGTGTAGCTTTTAATTTCTTAAACAGCCATTATGTTGTCAGTTAGGGTTAAAAGAAGTGTTGATATAAATGAACTCTCTTATGATTGGTCAAATCGCTGAATACTGAATTCTAGCCATTTTAAATGGTTTAATGTGTGTATAGTTATAACTTCTGAATGACCCGTTTGTTTGAACGAATTTTCTACCAAGTTTATATATAAAAAAGCTAATACTGATTGGATCATTATTGCAGTGATTAATGTTTCTAACATGCCATTTTTTTTTAACCCTAAATGATGCAGTGTAGCTTTTAATTTCTTAAACAGCCATTATGTTGTCAGTTAGGGTTAAAAGAAGTGTTGACAAACATACAACATGTGAGAAACATTAATCACTGTAATAATGATTCAATCCTAAAATCTGAAGTGTTTGCTTATTTAAATCCAGACGGTAACTTTTTTTTTTTTTTTCTATATGCAGGGTTGCCAGGTTTTCACAAGAAAACCCGCCCAATCGCCTTTCGAGGGGGTCCCCAGTTAAAAATCGCGTTCCAGGGGATAAATATCATGTTATTGGAGTGGCTTCAAGCCGCGGACATGAAAAACAACCCGCGGCAACAGTGTTAAAGTATCCCAATTCAGCGGGAAAACCGTGGACTTGGCAACACTGACTATAGGCCGTTTCTTGATCACAACTTTTGGTGAATGAAGGACAATACAATTTTCTTGTCTTCTCTGATAAATGTTTTCTGATATACATTTGTATTAATGTAGACTTCTCAAAGTCTATTACATTTTTATTCGTTTTATTTCATTTTTTGTTTCATAACGTTGCTAGAACCATACAACATCTGTAAATCAAGTATGGATTGTTAGCAACTTAATAAAATTTTCTATGCCTTTTTTTGTTGTTGTTTTGCTACTGAAACAGAAATAATAATAATAATAAAAAAAGCAGTTGCCTAAACGTTTATATAGCTGCTAACAGCACTATATCCAGTTTCTATATCCCTCATGTGCTGTAAAAATGAACGTGGCTCATTTTTGCCAGGTATTTCCATTCATAAAAAGGCAATGGGGAGGAGAGCTGACTATTTTCATTGATAAGATCTATTTACTCGAAGGGGGAGGTATCTGGTGCTTTCCATTCACTGAGAGCGAGGGGTACTGCCCCTCCGGTGAGGTGCCACGGTGTATAAACAACACAGTTCTATGTACTACCCTGCATGCTGAAACATAGACTTCCCTGTGTGAGCCCAACAAGCTCCACCCACCATCATTTAAAGCTTTTCCGTATGTATATTCACTGCAGAGATATTAGCACCATGTTGGGTTTAGCTCTCCTGTGAATTGCAGTTATATTTACGAGAATGACAGATTAATCTCTACAAATTTGCCCCGGCAAAGACGTTTAGAATTACCTGGACCACATTGCCTTGAAAAGAGGATTGTTTCGAGCTGGCTGTAGCACAGTGTGCTGCAACTTTAGTGGTTATAGTCTGTAGTTTCATAGTTTGACCCCTACATTTCATCCAGAATGAGGCCCAGGGAGCTTTGGGTCATGTTGAGTGTAACTTGATGAATGAGTGCTGGACTTTGGCAGACCCATTCAAGTGTACACTCGCGTTTCCAAACATGCCCTTGTGTATTGAATGGCCACATGGACACTTGTTTGAACCGAGTGCTGTTTGCTGAACCCCTCTTTGGGTTGTGTAGTCATCCTTTATTTGCTGTTTGCGAGCTTTTGTGGCCTGCGTGGAATAGACCTAATACAAACTGTCCTATATCTTTTTATATAAATTTTTTTTTATCATATTTTTTTTTTTCTATTATTTATTTCTCCTAAGGCAAGACTCCTTGATTAATCACAGCACATCGAAATGACGTTGTGTATTCCATTTTTTAAAATGTTAAATAAAATGTGCAAATGAGGCACGATGTAATTGAATATGCACTGATTTGCACACAATCTGAACGCTGGTTCAAAACTTTTTTTTATGTCATTATGCTGGCATATTAGATGTTTAGTTATAGAAGTCAGGGCAAATTATATATGTTCAAACCATTTTGTATAAACTGTAAAGTTTGGTGTATGTAAGTACTAATGAAGTGCCGATTTCTGGCTCAGTGCATTAAAAAAACCCATTTATATATAAAAAGGCATAAATCTATCTTTATCAAATAGATAAAGTTCAATAAAATAAATACTTAAAAGGCCTTTAAAGATATGAAATGTAATTTAAATCTATCTTTATCAAATAGATAAAGTTCAATACAATAATTACCTAAACATGTATTTTTGATGTTTTTCCTAGTCTGAAACAAAACATGCCCAAGACCTTAAAATTGACAAGTGCAAAAAATAAATAAATATATATATATATATGTATTTATGCGTTTATCTACTGCTATGATTTTATTTTATTTTATTTGTCCTTTTTGGGGTTTGTCAGGTCTCTTGAAAATTTGTGTATGTTCCACAGGATCTATTTATTTATTTATTTTTATGAATTAATACATTTTTCTTTTTAATAAAGTGTTGATAAGTAAAAGACAGAATTTTTATTTATTTACTTTACAGAAGTGTCCCTTTATGAGAATACTTATGAGATTGCTTTATTAAGAATACCTTCATGATTCATTACATACAAGCCTCTATAGCTTTTGTTTTTTCTAGAGTGTTAATGTTAAGGGGAAAAAAATCGTAATTATTTTGAATGTTTTAACTCTCATGGATGGTATACAGTATGTGTGTTTGGGTGTGTGGACAGTCCGGATTCAGGAAATAGGGGTTGGGCGTTTGCTCATGGGTGAAGAGAGAAAGTGTTGTGGAGGGGAATGTGGGCGGCAGGAGGCTGTGTTCTCTGTTTGGCCTGTCACAGTTTCAGGGGGTTATTGTCTAGGATGGAGACATCCGGAGGTCAATGCCTCAAACCCTGTGTGAGGCAGGGAACAAAACAGCCCTGTATAAGAACAGACCAAATGGGAATCACAGGTGGCAGGAATGGGCTACATCTATATGGAAATGAGCTCACTGTTCTCAGCGTCCCTCTGCAGCCACTGCTAATTTGCTTGATGCGCTGCTGGCCTCTTATTTTCACATGGGACGTGAGCTGTTGGGTGGATCTCACAAAAAGTGAAAATGTCCATGTCCAGCCATTTTTTGTAACTGCTATTTTCTGAATGTTAATTCTCCTTACTGTAACTTAGTTTTTAAAAACCGATTTACATAGCATAAATTAATACCAAATACAGCCATTATAAATACTTTTATTATGTATTAAATACATTAAATACCTTTACTTTAAAAATACATTTAATAAATACATAAATGCATTAAAAAAAACTAACAAAAACAAACTAATGCTCCTTCATGCAGTAAAATTGGAATGAAATGAAATGAAAGAATGAAAAGAGAAATGTTTTATTTGTTTTTTTTATTTTTGTCAAGACTGTGACTTCTCCATAATTCTCATTTAATATTTTAATAAATAATGGATAATATTAATATAGTAATATTTTTTAGCAAAATAAAATGGACCAATACCTCACTTTCCAACAAGAACTCCTTTCAGAGACACATTAGATATGAAATAAGCACAGCTGTTGGCTCACATTTTTCGCCCTGGATGAGCAAAAGCTTAGTTTTAGCCACAGAAAGGGTTGAGCCTTCCTCTTGAGGTTTTGCAATCATTTTCAAGTGTTTATCCTCCAGAAACAAACAGCCCATAAGATATGTTCTATTTCAGCTCAAACATATTATAAATTTTTTTTTAAAAATCATGATTTCCCTAGAGCCATGTTTCCAGGAATTAACACCATCAGACGTTCATGGGCAGTTACAAAACGGCTGTTTCATAATGTCAAATCGGATGTTTGCTTGACATAATCCAACAAACATGAGAGAATGTTGAACTGGTGATAAGAGAGGGTCAAACATTTGTTTGCCCGATGGCTGGGACTTTTAGGTTTTTGACTGCTTTCGCTTGCAAATACAAACAGAAAATACAAATTTTAAAATTAAAAAAGAAAAAAAGAATATCAAAAACTGTAGACAAATTAGTGATTCTTAATACATAACAAATACAGTCTTGTGAAATGTTTTGCTTGAAAAGTGGTCAAATACATGTTATAGTGTCCGTGATAAAGAAAAGAGAAAATATTACAAAAATCAAGTTTGAAGCATGTGGCAAATTCTTAAAAATGTACTGTGTATTCATGGTTCTATATAATCTTTCTTTTTCTTTCTTTCTTTTTCTTTCTTTCTTTCTTTCTTTCTTTCTTTCTTTCTTTCTTTCTTTCTTTCTTTCTCAATTCAATGTTACAATTTAATGAATGTAAATATGTTCATCCATCATGAAAACATGTGCACATCTATATCAAAATTTATT